ATTAAAGAGATTATTCATGAATCATTCATGATTCATAATGTTTCTGGAAAATTACCTGTTTCGTTCTTACAGTAATTGGTGGAGATCGTGGACCATCTCCAGCCGGATTAAACGCTAAAATTTGTATGCGATATTCTGTGTACTTGTCAAGAAAGACTAAATTGTGTGCCAAACAAGATGCCGGAACAACCTCTATCTCCTCTTCTTGTTCTTTTTCTAATTCCTGGGGGGAGTCAGTCACTAAGTAAAAAATCTACAATAAAAATGGAAATATTTATTACAATAAACACATATGTGGAATTAATAGAGTAAGACTACTAATTTGCAACAATTAATTATTCAATATGCAAAATAAAAATTTATAAATTTGTCACGTTTATCATTTGTTATTGAATTGAGTGAAACAAACTATTACCTTATATCCTAGTAAATCGCCATTTTGCATATTAGCTTGAGGAGGCTTCCAACGCAAATGGACTTCAGTCGAGGAAATAGGCTCGGCTTTCAAATGTTGAGGTTCTCCTGTAGGAACCGCTTCTCCTACATAAACTGTGACCGGAGGGCTCGGCGGACCTTCACCTTCCGAATTGAATGGTAGTACTACAATCTCGTAATAACGATCCTCTGTCAAGTCGCTTAAAACCATTTTAGTTTCCTGTGACAAAAAAGAATGTGTTGTTTATTAGTTAAATAAAACAAAGTGTTGATACATGTAGTCAATCTTGATATTATTTTATGATTTTAAATTAACATTATAATAAAAATATATATGTTATATTTTAGAGATTATACGTACCTTAATTCCTAAGATTTCTTCTTTCGGTGTTGCTTGAAGAGGTGTTGGGAAATCCGATACCGGCTGATAAACAACACGATAACCACCTGTCTCATGATCACCACTCCAGTATACCTCGTCAATCATATTCCAATGAACTTCAACGCTAGATGTTGTTATTGGTACAACTTTCAGGCCGGTAACACCCTTTGATGGCGCTGCAAGAAATATTATGTGCCAGCGTTGAAAAATTTAATCAAAAGGAATGAAAAAATAGATTAAAAAAAAAAAACAAGAAAATTTATTCTCACTTTCTGTGTAATTTTTTAAAATAAATCTAATATTTTATTGAGTGACTCGTATTATTTTGTCATTTGATACGAACCTGCAGGTAGAGTTTGTACTTGAGCGGATTCATTGCTCCACTCTGAAGGACCTATGTCATTTGTAGCTTGAATACGAAATTGATAGTGTGTGTAAGGCTTTAAATTGTTAGCTGTATAAGACGTTAAAGTGGGTTCCACTCTTTCGGGAATAATTTGAAACGGTCCGGAATTCTCCGACTGTTGCACTGTGTAATATCTGTTTAGAAGCATAAAAAGAGAGATTAATTAAGATTAAAGAAGCAAAAATTAAACTTTACACAGAAGAGATGTTTATACCTTAACGGTGCAAAACCGTCTCTTCCCGGTGTCCAGCTAAACGTTATTTGACGACTTTGGATCTGCGACTTGCTCACTTGTGGTACCGATGGTGCTTGCGGACGTTCTCTGTTGTTCGTAGTAAATACAAGTGCATAAGCTGTCTTACCCCAACCCAATCTTGTTTGCGCTGTCACGGAAAACATGTAATACATTTCAGGCTCGAGTCCGGTGGCTCTGTAAATGGCAATAATTGCGATATTTAAAAACATATTTATTAAATTAAATTATTAAATTAAATTTATTAAATTAAAAACATAATTATTTGTTTGTTCAATATATCTAAACTCAAAATATCTTTCACATTTCATTTATCAGAACAAAAAAATTTCGAATCTGATATTAACTTTCTCATATTCTAAAATTTTATTTTATTTTAAATCTCTAAATTTAAAATACAAATAATTTTTTGTAATGCATTTGGGTTTAAAATTTCAGATATAAATATAAGAAAAGAAAAGAAAATTTGGATACCTGAATGTCCTATCTGATGCTGGAAAATCCTTAGAAAATTGACGATCCTGGCTATTATTTAAATGAAACATGACCTTATAGGCTAGAATCTCTCCATTGGGATCCTCTGGTGTATCCCAGATAATGCGTGCTGTAGTAAAACTCACATCGGGAAAGGATACATTAGATGGTGGACCAGGAGCTGTAATAAAAAAAAAAAACATTATAGCGATATGATAGTGATAGATTTCATTTCCCTATCTCTATTATATTGTTACTATAGCTTGTTATTATTAAGCTTTATTATATGTTAATATATACCTATATAAAAATAATGTATTTAATATATCATAGAATGTTTAATATATCATAAAAATAATTTATAATGTCATATGTAGCATTATAATTGTTGTGATTGCTTTTATTAGTGCAAGTTTAATCAAAATAATTCACTTACTGTCTTCAAAGGTCTGTACTCTCACAGGTGGAGTGCTCAATGCTCCGTCACCAAGTCTCGTGTAGGCTAAAACCTGCACGTGATATTGAACAAATTTGCGAAGCTCCGTTAGCGTGGTCGTGAAAGTAGTGTTGCTAGGAATATTCTTGTATTGGAAGATCGACCTGGAATTCGCGCCGTAGTACACTTTAAAACCATCAATCTGTCCATTCTGATGTTCTACGGGTACATCGCCCCATCGCACTAGAATAGTCGTGGAGGATGTTGCGTTTGCTTCCACATTAATCGGTCCCAGAGAAGGTACTAAAAAACATTAAATTATATATAATACTAATACTAATACTAATACTCATATTATGAAAAATATTATTTCGAGTGTAGAGGGCTGAAGAAGTGTTTTTATTTTATTATTCTTTTAAAATAACGGAAGAATTACGTTTTCAAATTAGTTTTTTTTTTCTACATAACTACACTTAATTATGTATGAAAAACTCACCTGATTCACGAGTTCGTTCAATAGCTTTTGGACTCGCTGTCGAAGAACCGACATCGTTGAACGCTTGCATTATTATCTCGTAATCCGCATATTCTTCCATATTTTCCAGAATATATGAATTCGCAGTGGGATCTTCGATAGTTATGCTGTTCGAGATGTTTGATCGCACCTCCGTGTAAGTGACATTGTATCCTCGTGGATTTCCGTACCATTCTATTTGCTGCAATGGCTACACAAAAGATAATACAATTTTTATTGTAACATACTCTTAATAGCGGCAATTCATATAAAAATCATAATTTTCATATAATAATTCAATAATGATACTTACAATCCATCTAACGCGTAATTCAGTGGCACTCATCGCACGGACCGTAACGTTTTTCGGAGGATGAGAAGGTGGTGCCTGAATCGTTTGAAACTCTTTAGTCGGTTCGGACGGCTGCGAAGCACCGACAACGTTGTTTGCAATCAGACGAAGCTTGTATTGCATAAAAGGAGTCAAACCATCGACAGTGATCGTACTAGCATCGGGATCGGACACTTCGTAAATATTATACCATGTCGAGTTTCGCGCCGTTTGTGCCTAAGAAATCGACAACAATCAATCTTGCATATTACTTCTTTCCATCTATTATTCGTCTTAAAAATATATCTTATAAATCACTACTGAAAATATAGCATTTTTCAGATATCGAGTCTTTACAATTAGAAGAGATAGATAATGAAATTTTATTCGTTAAATTTTAATAGAATTGCAAATGTTTTATTAGATATTGAAATAAAAAAGTGTAAAACAATAATCATCGATCTTTTAGAAGAGAGTGTATCGACTATGAGACTACCAACCTGCACTGTCCATTTTATGATGGATGAATTCCCGTCAAATCCTGGCGTGAATTGCAACACAATAGAAAACGCATCTATATTAGACAATGCTAGTTTCGTAGGTGGTTCCGGTAACACTGGCTCGACACCAGATTGAATAGTTGCTACTTTCGATTTGCCAGGTCCGACCGATGTCCAAGCGGTTACTTCAAATTTGTAGTGAGTCAATGCCTAAAAAAAGAAATAGAAATAGAAATTTAATTTTCATTCTTTTAAACTGCTTTTTGATATTATGATTTTTAGACTTTTCTTTGTATCTTCTTTTTTGTAATTTTATAATTTAGAATCAATGACTACCTGAAGATGCTCTACTTTAGTTGATAATACATCAGCTGTAAAGTTTTCAACGCGCAAAGATTCCGGAATATCTTTAATCATATATTTCAGTTGATAATGTGTTAATATTCCATTGGTTTCTTTAGGAGCACTCCATTTAACTGTCAGCGCGCGATCACTAATATTTTCAAATTGTAGATTTTCCACTTCTTCTGGAACTATAACATATACATATACACACACATATATATAAAGATATAAGTGTAAGAATAATGTACATACACTTAATGTCCATAAAAAATTCTCATTTCCTTATTATGTACAGACAAATCAAAGAAAAAAAGAAAAATGACTTTTTAGAATCTTAGAAATTATCTTAAAATCTAATAATATAATAATTAATTTTTAACTAGTTAGTAGTTATTATATGATTGAACGTACCATCTTCGCGAGTGCGAATTTCAACGGGCGAGCTTCTTTCACCGTCACCTGGATCAGTGAAGCAGAGAACCGTGATATTATATACAGTGTATTTTCTTAAACCTGTCATAATAGCGTTCTGCTCGGCAAGCGGATCGAATAAACTAGGTGGCACCGTCATCGATTTGTATTCAGTTGCTTCTGTGAAATTGCTGCCGATCCAAGCTTGCAATTTATATCCTTGATTTATTCCATTAATTTTTTGCGGATTTGGTGGCTTCCACCAAACTTTCACTGCCGTTGAATTAAGCGCTTCTGCTTTCACATTCGTAGGAGGTGCTTCCGGAACTATATAGAATTATTTCTATTATTTTTAATTAATTTACAGTATTATACAATAATATTTTAGATTTCTATATAAAATTAGTTGAAGATTATAACAGATTATTTAAATTTAGTTTCAACATTATTCTCAAGAAAATTACAATATTTTAATTAACTTATACAATATTGTCAAATTATATCCTATTTAATTCTTCTTTAATTTTCTTATATTAATTACCTCCTTCTTTAGTTTTGATTTGTAAGCCTTTTGAATATATACCCACACCCTTTTCATTATAAGCTGCTATTTGTACTTCATAGTCTTTCCAGGTAATTAGATCGGTAATAAGATAATTTCTTTGCGCTTCATTGGTGATGTTTTGTATCGTCCACGGACTGTCGTTATATCCAAAGAGTGCGTATCTCAATATATATCCTAAGATATGGCCATTTCGATATTCTTCTAATGGAGGTTGCCATTGCGTAATTATTTCTGAAGACGAACGTGCTGAACCGACGAAACCAATCGGTGGACCGCTAGGCGCTACAAATAAAGCGATTAAATAAAATTTAATATGCATATGAGAATTTAACAAATTATCAGATATATGCGATTTTATAAAGGTATAATAAGCATATTTATATTTGCCACTAAACGAATCGTTTGACTAATCTTTCCAATCGCTTACGTTCTTGAGGTAGAATGACGATATTGCTAGGTGCTGATGATGGACCTTCGCCGACGCTATTCTCGGCGCTAACACGAAATTGATAAGCCGCTGCGGCTTTCAAATTGTTCAACAATACCCATCGACTGGTCGCGGACACATTGTCGCGTTCAGTGATCCAATTTAATATCGGATCATGTATAGGACCTATATTCATAATATTATAATTATTTAGAGCTTTATAAGTTTTTTCAATGTTTGATATATATTATTAATATCAATATTTGATGAATAATTAATTCACTTTATCAATAATTAATAAATTAAATTCACATCGTAATATTCATTATAAATAAATTAAGTATATTACATAGGGGCTAAATAATGTTATATATATCTAAAAATATTATACGAATGTAAAATATAAATATAAACGATAATTTATGCATTCGGTTATACTTAAATTTTATTTTATTTATATTTTTATATTCGAACTATACTTACCCAGATCGGATACTTCTCGTCTCTGAACTATAAATTTTTTCGTAGGACTGTTGCCGTCGAAGCCAGGCACCCACGTAACGTTAATGGTACGTGGCGAGATTCTTTCAACCCGTGTAGCCATGACATTGATCGGTGGAAATGGCAATTCGATTACGCTTAAACGAGCAGATCGCGTTTCGTTGCCACCTGGCGATACTACAGAGCACATGTACTCGCCTACGTCGGAAGCTCGAACAGTGACAATTTCGAGGGTGCCGTCCGAACGCATCTTCACCCTTTGACTTGCTTGCGTGTTTATTACTCTGTAACGTGCAGAATATATCACTTCAAGATTTTCAAGCATCGGGAGAGATACAGAATCTATTGTCATTCGAACAATTTCGTTGATACCTTTTTATATAAATCAACAGATACATTTTAGTTAATAAATATACGTACACAAAATTACAGATACATAAACTATTTTGTAATATTTTGTATAAATTATTTTTAATTAAATGTCTTGAGTCGATCAGATTAATATTTCGAGAAACAATATTTTGATTATAAAACAAGTTGTAAAAACAAATTTAATTCATTAAATTTAATTTAAAAATTTTTGATTTTAAAATTTTGAAAAAATTAGTGTGTTTACATAACATTTCTCTTTATACATACTGTCCATTGTGAAACCATGCCATGTCGTACACGACACTGGGATCGTTTGAAACTTTACACTGCAATTCGGCAGTTCGTCCGAGAAGCACGGACGTATCAACAGGTGGTTGAATAATTTGTGTCCGAACTGTAACAGATATAGATTACATACAACAAACAGATATAGATTACGTGCAACAAATTGTACAATGTATTCACAATTAAATAAAAGCAAAAAATAGATTTTTATCAATACATTATTGCTAAATAAAGATTTTTTGTATGTACGCTTGAAGATATAAGTAAAAAATATAATTTTAGAAAATTAAAATTTTTGCTTTTAATTTTTTCCAATGCTAGCAAAGTTTTCTTCTTCTTTTATCAACGTAAATTATTTAATATGCGTGCGTAAATATTTGTATAAACTGAAAAAGTTCTATCATTTATTCAATTTTTATCTATAAATGTCTGATTTAATAATTACCCATAACAGTCAAATATGCCGATCCGTTGATAGAGCCAGCTTCGTTCGCGCGAATACATGTATATTTTCCCGTATCGCTTGGCTTCACCGCCGCAATTAAGAGATCACCATTGTCTAAAACTTGTACTCTTCCGGCAATTTCCACTAAGATCGTATCTGTTGTATAAGATATAAAAATATAAATATATACGGGCAAGGTAAAAAATATTTCACGATAATTTATAATCTTGTTTAATTTAGTTTTATAATTTATATTTATTTATATTTAAATAATTTTAGCAATCAGATTAAGATTGATATAATATATTTATAATAATTTTTATAATAATTATAATTATTTATAATAATTTATAATAATTTATAATAATTTATAATAATAGATTTATACGTTGCTGTTTATTGACTGTTCGAGACTGTTCGAGAATTTTAATTAAAAATACGATTTAGCTTTACTTTAATTACCATTATAATACCAAGTGGTATTTGGCTTAGGCGCCGCAACCGCGTTGCAACTCAAAGTTGCATCTTTGCCATCTAACACTGTTAAATTTTGTGGTCCGTTTTCCATTATCGGTCCGGAAGCTGTAAATTATAAGAATTTCATTATTAACCTCGAATCCATTAAAAAAATTTTCTTCACAACGTGCAAATGAAGAAAAGGTGATCAATCATCGCTTGCAATATGTATATTTAAACCCATCTGTAATTCTCTTAACCTCTTCTCTATTTCTCTATGCTGATTCCAAAAGACAAGCACATTCTTTTATAAGCACAACACAAACACATATTTAATAGCAAAACTACGCAAACTTATAACTAAGTACAATCTATTTTATAATAAATATATGCCACATAAAATAATTACTAAATATTAAATGCTAACGGCATCGAAAGACATCCATAAAATTCAGAAAAAAATATTTTATTAAAAATTCCTATGGAAAACAGAAACGTGCGTGTCAATATTATTTGTAATGTCGCAAACGCTTATCACAGATTGTCTCATTACAAGATATAAATCGTTTTAATATTTCTTCAAGAATATGCATTTAATATTTCTGCAAAATGTGCATTAGTTCTATGATATAAAAAAACACTAAATTAATTAAATTGCTAATCATGTAAAAAAAATGCAGAACTGATCAATATCTTCTGCTAAAATTCTATGTTTAAATTAAATCGTGGAATAATAATAAATATTCTAAAATGCCGACATTCGTAGTGCTATTTGCCTTATCGGAATTATGCGAAAATTCGTCACTAAGAGAAGCAAAAATCGTGAAGTGAAATTTATACGCAATCTTCAAGCATGTGCCGAAAATGATAATGAAGAAGAAAAGTGTGAAAATCTCGCTACAATATTCTTACTGTTTGGATATTGAGAGAACATAAAACGGCGATCAGACTGGCGAACTCTGACTACATTGTAGCCAGCCGCCCAGCGGGCGATTCTGTTTCTTAATCTGCTCCCTAATCCTTTTTCTGTGCCGCACACAAAAAACACGTCATTTTATATTAACTCTGCTTGTGATATTATTACGCGAAGTGTTCGCGAAAAACGCAATATTCGAAAAACGAAAGATTTTCCCTTGTTTAATGGATTTTCCCCTTTATAAATGTTTATAAAATATTTGTTGTTTCTGTAGTATGATTAATAATCTTGTTATTAACAAAATAAATTATTTTTATTATTTATTTTGATACATGTCAAAAAACAACAAATAAATAATATATAATTTTTAAACTCATCTGGTACACAAAATTAAATTATATATAATTATATATTTGCAAGAGTAATTTATGATAATTTTCCATTTTGATTTCATTATTTATAAGATAAAAAAAGGATTACGATTAGATTATTTTAATTTTTATAAAATTATTACATTTTTTTCATCGATATTTTAGTCGCGTGTTTTGTGAACACTAAGTTACACTGGGTAATAATTTTACTGTTTTTAGAATATCACGATACGCTATAAAGACAAAAAAAAAGTTACTCACTTTTCGCTTTCAGCCAAGTATAACTGGACGATCCCCCGGCTTTGTTAGACGCAAGGCACTGAAACATTCCTGAGTCATCCATAGTTAATTTCTTAATCGTCAGCGAGCCATCTTCCTCTTTTACATATCTGTAAAACACAGATAAAACAACAATAAAATACCTAAATAATTTTGAGGTTTCGATTTTTTTAGACAATGATATCAGAAAATCAAAATACCAGATTTGATCATTTTAAACCTTTAAAATAAATTACATTACATATTCTAATTTGTAATAAAAATATATGAAATAATACTGAAATAAAAATTTATTTACCAAAGTATATCTTTATCATATAGAACAATTATGAACTTAGCTTAATAGAAAAAAATTTTAACAAAATTCATTAGTCAAAATGCTTGAATGATTAAAAGACTTCTCTTTCTTTCTCTTGCTTTTCTCCAGATTCCAATACATTACAAAGGCAAATATTTGCCGAGGCGTACCTGGTTCCCAATAAATGATCAACAGGCTCGGCATTACGGAACCAAGTGATTGTAGGAGGTGGCACGCCGTTAGCATCGCACGGTAACGTTACTGTAGATCCATAATCGCTCAGGGTCTCCCTTTTTAATTCCGTTATAAACGTCGGTTTTTCTAGAAAAGAATAAGAATTTTCATAAAGATTCAGATCTATTAATATCTCTATTGTCGTATTTTTATTTTTATAATCACGTAATTATATATTAATTTTATGTTTTTATTATTATATGTTAAGTTATCATTTGTACATTTAATATATAATTTTACTGTCGCTCACCATATACAACGATTTTTGCGCTTGCATTTACAGTTGGATAACCACCACTTCTTAAATCTACATGGCAGGAGTAAGTTCCTGTGTAAGTTATATTGGCTGAGATCAATGAGAGCGTTCTGTTCCATGAATCGTTAAAGCTATACGATATTCTAGAATTCTCGATTGGAATGCCGTCTTTCATCCATAAAGTTCTCAGCTCGTGAAGCGATCTGAAACAACGCAGCCATAATATTAAAACTTCAATTTCAATTTTTTTCGTGTTGAAAGTAAATCTTGATAGCATTGAAAAGAAAACTTAGCTTGTAAAGAAAATGAGAAATAAAAATTCATAATTACCTGGCATTTGCAATGCAATTTAAATACGTGACATCTTCATCTTTGATTATTTGCGTATCCTGCGGCTTGACAATTATGGTAGGAGCTACTTCCGCGTTTGAATCGCCGGTGACTTGTAATTTAAAAAACGGACTGTTCTCTTCCGTCCCCAATTGAGTATTAATAGCCTTCGCTCTATATATAAAAAAGTATAAGTTTAACTTACTTTCTGAAATTATAAAACTATAAAGCAAAATCTTCAAGTTTAAATGATTTGAAGTTTAAATAATTGTGCATTTCTACTTTACTTATTAAGAATTTTAAAAGAAAGATTTTTAATTATTATTAGTTATACGAACCTGTAGAAGCCTTCATCGTTTTCCGAAGCATTTAAAATGATCAACGTATGATTGATCTTGGCGTATTTTATACCGTATAGAGGAATCCCATTCGAGGAGAACCATGTTATGTCAGGCATGGGATGGCTCTCGATCGGGGGTAGTTCCAGAATCGCAGCGTTACCCGACTTGACAGTCACCACTTTCTCCGTGAGATCGTCGAACATTCCCATATCTGAAGTAAATTGAATCGACGATCCGTAATTTGTAATATTCATAGAGATACAATCAAAATGCAGAGTGATACAACTTGTTAAAACTACTCACAGGCTACGGTAAAGACGAGACTATCGCTGAATATGGATCCTACGTCATTCGTTGCGACACAATGATATACTCCTGCATCTTCCCGTCGCGTACTATTAATACGAAAGTAAGGCCCCGAAGTAAGCTCGTTGCTGAGGGACCTCCCGTCTTTAAACCATTTGTACTTTGGTTGAGGATTGCCTGTGAAAGTGACATAAAAATTTATCACACATCCAAATAATTTTTCCTAATTGTTCAGTTTGAGTTAAACATCAAAAATTTAAATAAAGATTATTAAAAAAGAAAAAACATGATATTTTTCTCATTAATAAATATATTTCCTCTGAATTGTAAATTTTTTGCATTATAGAAGATATATAAGAAATGAGCGATTTAGATGAACTTTGATATCATGAAAAGTTAACATAAAATAAATGATTCAATGCAAAGTCACGGACGAGGCTGCAGCTCACGAGCTATCTAATACCATTAGTACAGGGTCATATGCTCGAATTACACGTTGCTGGGCATCGGTAAGGCTTCATCTGGTCACCATTTCTCATCCGTCTGTTACGTTACCCGATATTTCTACGGGACAATGAAACGCCTTGCGGCGAACCTTATCCTCAAAGCTGCCGCAGTCCTTATCTTTCTCTTTCGCTCTTTTTATTCAATGCAATATTAATTATATGCAATATTAATTATGCCATTTAATAAGATTTATTTAATAATAAAATTTCAAGAAATTTTAGCAATTTATGTGAATTGATATGGAACAATTTAAACTATTGGCAACGATATTAAAAACAAAAAATTTTAATAATTGTAATTCTTACCTCTTGCTTGGCATTGCAAAAACTTTGTGCGATTTTCACTAAGTATATTGCCACTGCTGGAGGGTTGATTAGTGAAGCGCGGCTCCTGAAGTGGTTCTGCGAACAAAGAAACATTTTTTTTCTTCAAATCGATTTCGCGGAAGAGTTAATAAGAGCCTCTCTCTCTCTCTCTCTGTATGATATATATATATATATATATATATATATATATACATATATATATATATATATATATATACATATATATATATATATAT